CAGCCAGCTAGCTAGCTAGCCAGCCAGCTAGCTAGCTAGCCAGCCAGCTAGCTAGCTAGCTGTTTGAAAGTGAATTAAATGAAAAGTCCGCACCTGTTGTTTTGCATTAAAAAGCTCTGGCGCTGTTTGTCGTGGTAGTCGTAAAGAAGAAGACAATGAGCTTCTTCGCCGTCTCGCCCGGCCCGCCCAGACTCCTGCGAGGGTTTAGGGTTTAGGGTTTAGGGTTTGGGGTTTAGCGAGGGGCACGTGCATGCAGCCTCCACACTCTCCCTATACCGCGCCTAAGAGATTAGGGTTTAGGGTTTAGGGTTTCGGGTTTAGCGGGTAGAACCGTGCATGCAGTCTCCAATGACTCCCACACCGCGCTTTAGGGTTTAGGGTTTAGGGTTTTGCTGACCTGGTAGAAGTTTTCCAGAGACTTTGGCATTGCTGTGTGAATTACAAAACGAACATCTTTTTTATTAACCCCCATTCCAAAGGCAAGAGTTGCTACAATTACCTGAGAAGAAACTCAAAAACGAGGGTTTAGGGTTTAGGGTTCAAAACGAGGGTTTAGGGTTTAGGGTTTAGGGCTTGTGGGAGAGGGATGCGGATTCAGAATCAAGTCCTAACCAACCAACACTTCTGAGCGGTCGTCCAAGAGCCAGGACAAAACTCTAAACCCTAAACCCTAAACCCTAAACCCTAGAAAGCTAAATATACTCTTTAAATTCCAGAAACAAATAACTCCTGCCCGCGCAACCCACATAAACCACTCGAGGAATTAAGCTTTTATTCCAAACGCTAAAACAAAACGCTAAGAACCCTAAACCCTAAACTCTAAACCCTAAACCCTAGACCCTAAACCCTCACTTTGAACTTATTCATCACCCATTCTTTTTGCACTTCTTCTCCTTTTTCCGCTTCAAGCTTCCCGTGCAAAAGGCCTCTCCCCCTAAACCCCAAACCCCAAACCCTAAACCCTAAACCCTAAACCATAAACCCTAAACCCTAAACCCTCACTTTGAACTTATTCATCATCCATTCTTTTTGCACTTTTTCTCTTTTTTCTGCTT